CCGCTAGGATACGACATCTAGGCGCGAGCAGTGTTCGTGCGTGCCCGTTAAGTGGCATCGTACGATTAAGTTAAATTGCTGGTACCTCCCGTATTTAAAAATTCGAATACTTGAAAATTTTGAAAATGTTGTTTATTTTCAAATTTTTGAAACCGCTGGAATAAAACCTTATTCGAAAATTAATCATTTTTTCTGATAAACTCTTAGAGCTAATGGTTAATGGTTAAATATTGTGAATCATCTTGACACGGAACCCAAAGTAATGGAAAAAATGTGCTTATTCCGGGAAATGGCATTTTTTTCCTCTGTATCTCTGAAACCCGTCTAACCAAACGTAAAGATGTACAAAAAAATTCATTTTCGATTTTTTGCGATTACTATAACTTACCTTGCGGGAAGGTAAATATAGTTTGATTTTAAATGATATAAAAGTGGTCTTTCATACGTTTTATTATAAGTGCATAGTAGGAAAAACCTTATCATAGAAACATAATAAATGTTGAGCTTTAGAATAATGTTTCGTACATAATGTGTCGAAAGTCGGTTTCAGTTTTTTTTTGCCATATGTTTCACATTTGTAGCTTTGGAAAGCTCCTCGTACTCCCATGTTTATCATCATAACCCTTCATTATTCAATTAAAGCTGTAACTTTGATCCATAGACTTTGCTGGTGGCACAAAAAGTTAGAACCAGTTTTTCATTTTTTTTACTTATTCACAAAGGCTTAAAATAAGCTGGTAATATATCTGGCTTAATAACTATACTGCTTGCGTAATTTTCGTGTGATCGTGATAAATTATCCTATTTTAGTGATAGAATTACCTGGAATGCCACTATCAAAATTTGTAGTTAGAAAGTATGAGATGATTCATTTGATGGCAGTTTTATATAAATATCTTATTTATTTAATAAATACAAAACGTAATAAAATACAGTTTTTCGATAGATACACGAAGCTATTGTAGAGGCAGCTGTAATTAAACTATTTCTATAAACTATTCTCAATTGTTACAATCCATATTGACAAAATCTGAAGCACTCTATATCTAGGAACGTATATTCCCAGAATAATTAAAAGATCTCTAAAATCTCAAAATCATCTGATTTGATCTCTAGGAATTATCAATATTTAAGTTACAAGTATTTTTATCACTGCTTCACATTTTCTGTCCAAATTTACCTTGTTCTTGGAATACAATTGCACATTTTTCCACGAAGATGTTGAAAAAAATACTATTTAAAGATAAAAAAAACGTTTCCTTGTTTTAATTTATTCAAATTTTCTCATGTGTCCGTTATGTAAATCGTTTAAACTTGAAAACAATATCCATTGTTTACATTGTTTGTTATCTACTCGTGGTGTGCTATTTTCTAATTTCCAAGATTTCATTTCAATGTTTTCAAAATGTGATCTTGAATCATCAATGTTTTTAGCATAAATTAAACTTTGAATGATTATACTAAATTTTAATTATGGTGCCAATTTTTATATTACTCTTACATTGAATGACGCATTTGTCTCTTATTCATTGATAGGTATATGATGTATCATTTTTATAAAACAACACTTTGAATCATAATAAAGTTCTAAATGTAAATAAACTGAACCTCCAAATATATTGGAACTAGTGGTGCATGGCATTGTGACATGGCAAATTGCTAGAACTTTCCGTACCGTAGATAAACTCTTGAGGATTAAACATTATCAATAGTAATATTTTAAAACGTAACTTTAATTTCAAAATCCGAATCATTTTCGATATTAGAACAAAAATAATTTTGAAATTGAAAATTTTCAAATCATTCAAATTATACAGTGTTACACAATTGTAAGTGTGAAAATGAAATGTTTTGTTTCATTTTTTCAAAGTGTATTCTGTACTTTGAACATTATTATTCTATTATAATTTCTATAGAGCACTTTATTATTATTGGCCTGTATATTAATTACGCAGTAATGTCAATGAAGACGACATTAAAAGCTGATAGGAATATCCGCTAAGATTTATTTTCATTCTGAAGGTTTTTAATTAATTTATATATATATATATATATATATATCTGTGTGTGTGCATATATATTTTAATAATAGATTATGTTTATGTTACGCTTGACTCGATAAATACAGGTTACAGTTGACACCTTTTTCAAGTATGTTGTGCTAGGTCAGCCATAAAGAAATCAGAAATCATTGTATTACCGCAATAATTAAGAAAAATGATATAATTTATATTAAAGTATAGTATATACATATAATTAAAAACACTAGCGGTGATGTAATATAAACGCAGGTGTTGTATTAAAATGTTTTATATCTAATTATGTCAAAAACTTACGATTCAAAGCATGATAAATAACTGCGCAATTGCAAATATAATAAATAAAATTAATAACAATGAACGTGCGATCTAATGAAATCATAATTGGCTGTATCATATTTTCGGCGATTAAATAAAATAAAATAAAAATAATAATTAGCTACGAGATCATCTTTTAGCCATAACGTCATATCCGATTTAATTTTTAATTCTCTTTTAATTTGCTACTACGTATTTGTTATATAATCTTCATATTAACATGCCTTTGCGTGTATGAATTTTTATCCATTTATCTATTGTTTTCTGGAAGTTCGTACTATAGTTTTTTTAAAATAAATCTATTTTCACACATTTATTTCGTTATCATGTGGTGAATTTCCTGAACCTCGATGTCTTGGTAACTAACTAACTTGGAACTTCTAAGATTCAGCCTCGATCTACTAATTTTAATTTCTATAATATTTTGGGTAAACAGATGGCGCTCTGTAAGATTATAAATTTTCGCCATGATTAAAATAATCTTATCGACTTCAGTAGCCCTTTTTATCATACATCGAATTCTCGAATCGGATGTGATTCGAAGGAGAGCGTATTAAAGAGATCATCATCTTGATCAGATGCAGTTCCAAAGTTTGATGCATCAAAAGACGATTTGTTGAGTTAACGGACAAGGAGAGGTTGAATTGCATTCCAATGAAAAGTCTTGGCTCTAAATTATTTTTTGTGTCAGCAATAACCACTAAGGTCTGGGTATACTAAATGGGTATACCAACGAAAGTCCGGTATCAGATAGTAAGTGCGTTAACTACGATGAACCGGGGACTGGACGTACCTTATAAGTAGTCACTGAAGACCAGTGATTATGGTGTGCATCAAAATCTATATTTTTTAAATCCCTCAAAAAAACTCCTTTGTCTTCATCTCAATCGTCGTGGGTCACCAATGTGGGAGTAGTATACAACCCTACTTGTATAAAAATTTATAAAATTTATTGATTATAAAATATTACTGATATCAAAATATGACAAATCGAATTGTTTTTTTATAATCACTAGCCTGCTTGATTTCCCCACAAAGTAAAAATGGTATAGTCTCTAATAAAGAACCCAAAAGCTATGTGATTTACTATTTACTTAATTAATTTACAAAATTAACGTCTTATTATAGTTTCCATTATTAGTATTATTAGTTTCCATTATTAGTTTATTAGTTTCTAATTAAATTATGTTTTTAGCCATATATCATATTCTATTGAATTTTGAATATTTTTTTCAATTTGCTTATTTGTTATATAACTATTCTATCAAGGGGTCATTGGTATATGAATTTTTATCCACAATTTTGTGAAATTCGTACTATAGTTGCTGAGATAAAGAACTCGAAAAATAGATGACTATTTACTTACATAATTAATATCAAAAACGCTTATGTAATGCTAATCTAAATCTAAATATATATATACAATATTTAGTTAGGTTATAGATTAATTTGAAAATTTATTTAGCTCAAAATTTCATTAATAACGGTAAATTGAAAACTAGGTTAATTATTTAAATCTGATAACTTAACCTTTTTGTTTTCAAAATATGCTCTTATTTTGATGATTTCAT